GTCATGACTGGGAAGCAAATTAATAGCTATCATTTCCTAGAGTTGCCTTAATCCACTCTGTGCTACTGTGAGGATACCCGAGACTGAGTGATGTAAAAGAACAGATTTACTTCCTACAGTTCGAGAGTCTGAGAAGCCCAGAGCCAAAGGGCCCATACTTGGTGAGGGCCTTCTACCCTGTCATCTTGTGAGAGGTAACACAAGGGATCACGTGTGTCCTTACACATGTGTACACATGAACAAAGGGGGGAGGCAGGAGAGGGAGAGAAGACTGTCCCAAACTGGTCTGTTTGGCAGGAACCCATCTCACTTCCAAGATAATATCACTGATGCACCCACGAGGAACTGACTTTGCCTGGTGTTTTTTTTTTGTTTTGTTTTTTTTAAGGCAGGGTTCTATTATGTTGCCTCTATAGGCCTGGAATTTGTTCTGTAGACCAGGCTGGCCTTGAACTCACAGAGACCTACCTGCTTCTGCCTCCAGAGTATTGGGTCTAAAGGTGTGCACCACCACACCCAGCCCTAAGTACCTCTTACAGGTTCCATCTCTTAACACTGCTTCCTCCAGGGATAAGTTTCCACCCTGTGAACTTGAGAGGACATATTCAAGCTGTGGTACTACTATTTATTTGTTTATCTATTTATTCCTTTTCAGCAAGAACAGGCAAAATAAATTCATTTAGCAGGAATCCTAGATATAACACATTCTGATTAACTTTAGTCCTTGTGCTAGACATTACTTCCTAGACTTATTTATCCCTCTTAATATTAATATCAATAGTCTAAAGAAAATCAGTAATCTGTCAGGCATGGTGGTGTACACTTATAATCCTTGCCCTTGAAGGCACAAGCTCAAGGATGGAGAGGTCAAGGCCAAGGTCATCCTTAACTATATAGTGAGTTTGTGGCCAGACTGGGCTACATGAGACCCTGTCCTGATTAAAAACAAAGAAGCAGCCGGGCGGTGGTGGCGCACGCCTTTAATCCCAGCACTCGGGAGGCAGAGCCAGGCGGATCTCTGTGAGTTCGAGGCCAGCCTGGTCTCCAAAGCGAGTTCCAGGAAAGGCGCAAAGCTACACAGAGAAACCCTGTCTCGAAAAACCAAAAAAAAAAAAAAAAAAAAAAAAAACAAAACAAAGAAGCAAAAACAAAACCCAAGACAAAATCAGTACCAACGGTTCATTCTACTCCAGCAAACTCTGTGCATAATGTGAACGTTGTTGTTAGTGGTCAGAGAGAAGGAAACATTCACAGAGAATCAGGGCATTTCGAGCAAAGGCTGCAGGTTTAATGTCCAGGAAGATGACCACATCCTTTCTAAAACATTTCCTTGATATAGAAATGATAGGATGAAAGGGTAGATTATTGAATCTACTTTTAAAGTTAATTTTGTTATATTGTATGTATATTTCTATTCTTGTTTAAGGTATTATGTTTGTGCAACTCATTTGAAATTGTAATGTATAATTAAGAAATGCAGATTAATAATTAGTCATCCATTATAATCACACTTCTAGTCATGTTAATTAAGTTTTCTAGGTATACATAGATATATTTCAATTAGGTAGGTGATCTTCAAACACTTCAAAGACCTACAGAATATGGCATTTAAAATATTTTAAAAACTTAGACTTTCTGGACAGTGAGACATGTCTGCTCCTGGCAGCACCAATTTACTTCAAAGAGAAAGATGGGCATTGAAGTCACTCTATATGGAGTTTATCTTCTTCTTGGCAAAAATGGCCATTTGGGCAAAAAGTGCTCTTGCCTGGACTGCTTGACAGGATGTTATATAAACTGGACATGCAGGACCCATAGGAAGGTGACCACTAAACTTTGCAAGGTGAGATGGTCCTTCAGGTTCCTGCTTTGCAGAAGAAACTGCCAGACATTCTACAGGACACAGAGGGAAGCGACTGAGAGGCTCTAGGCCTATAGGCTGAAGATGGATGCCCTAATGTTGCAAAGGAATTTTGGGTGACTGTACAGGTAGCCAGCTGTCTCTTTCATTCTAGATTTTTGGAAGTTGCTTACAATGTCTTCCTGTTTACTTAGGTAATATATCCTTCTGGGGTCTTTGGTATAGTTGAAGACTAGATCGTTATAATTTTCCTTGGTTATGATAAAAGATAAGTTGGATATGAAACTTTAGACTCACAAATATAGGATAATAGAATATTTTCTTTAACTTTGCCAAATACAAATAGACTAGATACTGTAACTATTATTCTTGCTTGGTAACTATCTTCTTATATGTAATTTTACTTTGTTAAAGTTAAAACCTTCCTTTTTGATTAGACAGAAAAGGGGAAATGCTGTGGGATGTCGTTCTGTATGCTGTGAATATATGTTGCTCTGATTGGTTAATAAATAAAACACTGATTAGCCAGTAGCTAGACAGGAAGTATAGGTGGGGCAAGCTGATGAGGAGAATGCTGGGAAGAGGAAGGGCAGAGTCAGGAGTTGCCAGGCAGACACAGAGGAGGCAAGATGACAAGGCAGAACTGAGAAAAGGTACCAAGCCATGTGGCTAAACATAGATAAGAATTATGGGTTAATTTAAGTGTAAGAGCTAGTCAGTAATAAGCCTGAGCTAATGGCCGAGCAGTTATAATTAATATTAATGATTATTTTATAAGTGGGCCAAGAGACTGCAGGGACCTGGTGGGATGGAGAAACCTTCCAACTACATTTCTTGATGCTTTCATTAGGTTTCAAGAGCTGTACCGATCCCAGGGGCTTTTCCTGGGACTCATTTCTGTGTTCAGTAGCCATGCAGGCAGGCATTTGTCTTCCAAATTCGAGGACTTCAGTCCTGGAGTTAATTGATTTTACAGTTTCCAGTCCCCCCCCCCCCCCCCCGTGCTAGTCAGTCACCCAGGTGGTGGCTCACCCACCTTTGAGAGCAGGCAGCAACTGAAACTTCTCTAGGGCTGCTTGCCTTTCTCTCTACCCCTCATCCTCCAGTCTCTTAGGAGCTCTTTTCTTCCCTTTTCCTTCCTTCTTTCCTTCCTTCCTTCCTTCCTTCCTTCCTTCCTTCCTTCCTTCCTTCCTTCCTTCCTTCCTTCTTTCTTTCCTTCCTTCCTCTTCTTTTTTGTTTTGAGACAGGGTTTCTCTGTGTAACAGTCCTGGCTGTCCTAGAACTCACAATGTAGACCAGGCTGGCCTTAAACTCGAAGAGATCTGCCTGCTTCTGACTCTGGAGTGCTGGGATTAAAGGTGTGAGCCATCACCACCTGACTCTTTTCATTTATTTAATTGTTATTTTATTTCATTATTTTATGTGTGGATGTTTCACCTGCATGTATATCTGTGTACTACGTGCCCAGTGCCCTGGGAGGTCAGAAGAGGGTGTTGGATCTCCTGGGAGTGGAGTTACAGATGGTGATGAGCCACGATGGTTCTTGGGGTTGGATTTTGCTCCTCTGCAAGAGCGGCCAGCACCCTTAACCAATGAACCATCTCTCCAGCCCCAACAGCTCTTAATATAAACAGATGGTTCTGAGTTTTTCTACTCTAAGATCTTTCCGGGCTCAGGGGAGGGGAGGAATGTATAATAATCCCCACCCAAAGGGAAATTCACCCCAGACTCATTTGATATTTGAGGTAGGGCTTTTCCCTTCAGTTCCTACATATGTCTTCAGGCTGGTTCCGGCCAGCTGGTCCTGTGGACCTTTACCGACTAGTTCCCCATGTCTTATCCCACTTGCTGAATGGTGAAATACTCTTGTGTGTGTCCTCAGAATGAGCATATTCCATGACTGGTCCCATCCTGTGCTTGCATGCCTGACCCCATCTCACTCTGCTTAACAGACCACTTATCCCATTCTCTGGCAACCCTTGAAGTTTTTTCTCTGTCTAGGTCAGGAACCCAGGCTCTCCTGGAAACCAGAGATTTCACTACAGCTACCTCCTACTCCACCCCAATTTCGTACATATCTGGTATCTGTGTCTGCCTTTGTCCTTAACAGATTCTAAAATCACCAGCCAGTGCTGTCACCTGCTCTGGGGATCTCCTCTGCGCCCTTGTTGGTATTCTGTCCCTCCAGGTCTAATGATTTTTCTTTCACTCCCTCTCTTAGTCCCTCCTTCCTTCCCTCCCTCCCTCCTCCCTTTCACAGGGTCTTGCTATGTAGCTCAGGCTGGCCAACGCTCAATCCTCCAGCCTTGGCTTCCAGAGTACTAGGGTTACAGGCAACGGGCTACCACATCCAGTTTAACACTGATGATTTCAAATATGGATGACAGGTGAAGAGGAACTCAGGCTCTGGGCAGAGGCAGCCACAGCCATGTGGTTTTAACCAGGACAAAAGGCAGCATTGCCCCAAAATGTGACTTTTAGAGAGAGAGTTTCAGCATAGCCCAGCTTCCCCCAAGTTTGAGACACTAACGCATGATAATGGACTAAGCCTCTGAGACTGTAAGCAAGCTCCCAATGAAATGCTTTCCTTTATAAGAGTTGCCTTGGTCATGGTGTCTCTTCACAGCAAACAAACAAACAAACAAACAAACAAACAAACCAGTGACCATGACAGGATCATATATTTATCTCTTATAATCTTTTATGCAAGAGAATAACAAATGCCAGTGTGATGAAGCTACTATCTGTTAGGTTTCTGCTGCTAAGGGATAGGTCGGGACAGCATGGCTACTTGTTTCTTGTCGCTAAAGTCCAGCATGACACAGAACACAGGTTTACACTTCCCACACAGATCTGGAGAGCAGAACACTAGCTAAGACCTGCTCCTGGGAAGAGTGAGAAGCTGGAAGGGTGCCACAGGGAGACCAGAATGGATGGATGTCTGAGCAGGTCTCTGTCTGAGGTCTTAAAGCAGAGAAGTTCAGGAAAAGCCATGAGCAAAGGGATACATTTGGGCTGGGAACATAGTTCTGGAGTACAGTGCTTGCCTTGTATGCTTTAGACCCCGAGTTCAAATCCCAGCACTAAAAATTAATTGGTTCTTGGAATTGCTAAAACAAATGGCCACAGACCCAGCAGCTTAAAACAACACACATTTATTATTTTAGAGTTCCAGAGGTCAGAAGTCCTCAAAGGGTGTCGCTAGGCTGAAACCAAGGTCTCTAGCTCCGTGTTCCTTCCTGGAAATTCCTGGGGAGAATCAGGACTCTTACTCTGTCCAGCTTCCAGAAATAAGCCGCATCCCTTTGTCCCTCACTTCCTTCCCCACACAAAGCAGTGGTGGATGGGTGGTCTGCAGTTTTCCTCACATTGTACCACCCGTCACTGATGGTTCTGGAGGCTCCTACCTCATGGTAAACCAGATGGAATCTTAATTCAATCAGCAACTTCGATCCCCATTGCCTTGATACAATCACAGGCTGTGGAGCTGTAATCGTGGACATCTTTGGCTGAACATCATTCTGTCTTGCACACAGGTTTCACCCCGTTTCTTACTTGTGTGTGCTCTGTATGCTTGTAAACATACAGAGTCTCTGTACTGATATGGATGGGCAGCAGTCAAGGGATCCCTACAGTGAGAGCTCATAGAGTTTCCTGGTCCCTAGGATGGGCCTGGAGGGAGCTGAGGGAACTTACAGACCTAGGAAGGACCGGTCAGTTGAGACAGTGATTCATTCATGGAAACCACCACAGATCCCACGGTTGGGGAATGGCTGGGGATATGATGTTCTCATGGTTTAGATACGGTTTCCAAAGGGTCTCTATGCGTTGGGAGCTTGGCCTCTAGTGTGCCTATGCTGAGAGGTGGAGCCTTGTGGGAAGGCTTTAGGTCACTGGGCGTTCTGCTTTCTGAGGAGTTAAGGCAGTTCTCATGGAGATCCTGGGGTCTCAAGAGTGAGTTGTTACAAGAGTAAAGCTGACCCCTGAATCACCTTCTGGCTTTCTATTTTGATGTGTGATTCCTTCCCGTGTTTTCCTGCCATTGTGGGGACCAATGGCAATCACAGGGTCTTGGCCCTTGAACCAGCAGAACTATGAGTTAAAAACCTCTTTTCTTTATAAAGTTAGCCTGCTTGGTTCTTCTGTTACAGTAACAGAAAATGGCCTGTCACAGATACCTCGGAGGAAGCCAGAATGCAGACACTGAGAGCCAGACAAGATGGCTTCGGCAATGCTAAGGGGAGCTGCCTATGACTGGAAACCCTCACCTGCATTATGCTACAACTTGCCTGGAGAGAGGAAGGAAACACAGAACAAAACAAAACCAAACTTCCAAACTGATACCTAAAAATCTAAGTTGAATGAGAAAACTCTGAAATTCCCAGGGAAAACCCCCAATCTGACTTTATAGCTTCAGTTGCTTGGCAGAATAGGAACTTGAGATCAAAGAAGCAGGTTGCTATAGAGACATAATGAAATTCCTGTCTTGTCCCTGTGATTGGATGAGGAGTTGTGCCTGGTGTGGTGGTGCCATCTGCCTTCCTGATGAGGATGGTCCTAGAGCTTACTTGATGTGCCAGCCCGTCACAATGAGCACACTGCAACCGTCAGTCAGTCCAGTGTTTTCCCTGGTGAGCCTTATTTTGTCATCATGGGATGAGGAGGTGACTTGTGGAAGAAGGGTCTGTATGCACTGTAATCAGAACAGGAAGGATGACTGTGTGACATTATGTAGAGGTTATTGCCACACAGTTTTGTCACACATTTATGAAAAGCCACTAAACTTTTGACTGCTATTTTTTGTTTTGGTTATTTATTTATTTTAGGGCCAAGTGAAATGTTAAAAATGAACTCTTCCCTCAGCTTGGTGCCTTGCTCAGAGGGTGATGGCAGACAGCCACAGGCTCTGCCAGGCTGTGCCCTTTCTGGCTGGAGTGTTGGTGTCTCACCAGGACAGTTCTGTGTTCTGTGACAGGGCCGCTCTCTACTGTGCCCCCTTGTAATCCTCAATGCTCTTCACGGTTACAATGCCAATTGTTACCTTCAAAATCCTCAGAAGGAAGTGGTCGGGGAAGACTCACCACGAACTGTAAGTTTAGACCACTGATGGATTGACGTTCTATGGCTTGGTCTTGGGGTCAGCCTAGCTCGCTGGAATCTGATCTGAGTAATTGCCAGCCAGTGATGGTGCTGGAGATGGTACTGCTACCACAGAGGCAGAACGCTCTTTTTTTGCGGTGGGGTTAGGACTGTGGCTCCTGCTGACACCTTGACCTGGGCCTCAGAAATTTTGGACTTATTCTGAAGCAAGTTATTGTGATCAGTGGATTAGGCATTAAAACCTGAATGCTTAGTAAGAGTTTTGCTTTATATTCTATATTAGTCAGCTTTCTCTCAGCATAATAAGATATTTCAGACAATTAGAGAGAGAAAAAAGTTAATCTTGATGCTTTGTTTTGGAGGTTCTGGTCCATGCTCCTGTGGACCATTGTTTTGGGTCCCTGATGGGGTGCTAGGTGGGAGTGATGGGCAGCCTGTGTCAGAGCGAACTCTTCATCTTATGGCCAGGAAATTAAAGAGACAGAAGGAGGATGGGGCCAGAGTCCCATAACTCCCTTCAAAGGCATATCCTCAGTGACTGTCAAAGGCATACCCCAGTGACTGTCAAAGGCATACCCCAGTGACTGTCAAAGGCATACCCCAGTGACTGTCAAAGGCATATCCCAGTGACTGTCAGGGCATATCCCCAGTGACCATCAAAGGCATATCCCCAGTGACTGTCCAAGGCATATCCCAGTGACTGTCCAAGGCATACCCCAGTGACTGTCAGGGCATACCCCAGTGATTGAACTACGTCCTACTAAGCCCCACCTCCTGAAGGCACCATGACCTTCCCAGAGGGCCACCCAAGGGACCAGTCTTTTAACATGTGGACCTTGAGGGTCATAATCCAAACTAGAGTGTAGTCTAAGCAAGTGGAAACTAATAGTTATGATATAACTAATCATATTTACTAACACTAAGTGCTTACTATGTGTTAGGTACCACGCCAAAATATGTCGACACACGCTGTCACTTAACCCATGTGAGAGCTCCATGGGAAGATAGCTGTAACACCCTCCTTCAGACTCAGAGAAGCTGGGGCTTAGAGAACTTGAGGTTCCTTGCTTATCTTCAACCATCTTGCCAGTGACCACGCCAGAGCCTGAACCTTGGTCCCTGTGATCCAAAGTTTGAATCCCTAGCAGTTAGGTGGCTGGGGAGCACCTTTAATTTTGCTGCTGAGAGGACCGTGGCCTTCACTGGGGACCACATTTTCTTCTGGGAGCTTATTCTTTAGAGAGCCAGGTCTGGATTTGGCTTCACAAAGCCTTTTGGGCAAGGGGTAGAGGGGAGTTTCAGGAGCCATGGGGTCTTGAGAGGGACCCCATGGGCTCTGCTCACCGGGGCGGGAAAGGCCAACAGAATTCAATAATACTGCCTTGTAGAACCCAGACTGTGACACTTTTCAGCAACAGAAGCGTTTTTTTTTTCTTAAGGATAAAGCTATGTACAGCAATATGAATTACAGAGACAGCTCATTGGATTAGGCAGTCCTTTCCCAGTGCTTAGAGGTGATCTTACAATCGTGAGATCTGAACGTGGTGTTGCCATCAGATTCTGGACACGTCCTGACATGGTGCCACAGGAGGGATGCACACTCGTTAGATGTCACACAGTAGCAGCTGCAGGGAGGAAAACAAGACGACACTTCCTAAGGTCTCTATAAATAAGGGAGGACACATCCGCCTGATGTCTCGAGCATGTGAAGTTCTGCCCACTGTCAATGTGCCAGACAGTCCCGGTGACGGTCTGGCTTTCAGACCCAACTCTAGTAGTGACAGAGCTGATGTCCCTTCGGTCTGCCTCTGGACTGTGATTCCGATCATGCTGTCCGTGGAATCTCAGGGCAGGCATTTCTGGATACAGATATATATATATATATTTTAAAGGAGAGCGCAGGTGGGTAGCTTATAGCCTTGATTTCAGCTGAGCTGTTGATGGATAGAGCAGAGGAAAAGACTTCAATAAACTCGGGTACGATAAGGAGCTCTGGAACAACCCCCCAAAACATGGCTCTTCTTTTAACTTTTAAGGGAACATCAGTCAGTTCACTTCATTCAAAGCAGTGCAACCGAGTACAGGCATTTGATGTACCTATCATCCCTGGCTTCCGAGGAAAAAAGGAAGGACCCATCCTTATTCCTGGGACTCCAAGAAAAACTCTATGCGCTGGGCAGTCGGTCTTTCCCTCCGTTAGGAGTGCAGTATGTTTTCCGTCACGGAGCTGCCTCCACCGCTAATGACGAAGCTCCGAGAGGTGGACACGACCAGTGCTGGGGACATTTCTTCTGGACTTTCCATTTCTGGCTGGTGGTCCCCCACCATGGGCCCCGTTTCCTGAGTGGTCATTTCTGAGTCCGTGTCTGCACACTGCAGGGGGAGCAGGGCCTGGTGTCTGCTCAAGGTGTCGTTGCTCTTCTGGGCCTCCAAGGAGTTCTGACGTATGGAGTTCCTGTGGGCCATAGCGCTCTTCTGAGGCTCGTCAAAGCTCAGAGAGAAGGTGACTGTACCACTGCCGAAGATGACCTTCTGTTTGCATCTGGGCTGCTGTGGCTGCTGCTGCTGCTGCAGAGCCAGGGGCTGCTGCTGTTGCTGTTCTTGCTGAGTCAGGGCCAGCGGCTGCTGTTGCTTCCGCCTCTCTGGCTGTGGGAACGGGTCTTCGCTGTTGCTTTTGCTACTCATGGAAGAGGAGGGAATGGAACCTGTGGAGCCTCCCAGGCTGCTGGACCGCTTCCGGGAGACGTTGCTGCGGCGTAGCGTGGCGCGGGCTGCCACTTTGAAAGCATGCGCCGCGGTGCTGCAGCGCACCTCCTCGATGGTGTTCCGGGAAGGTTTGAAGAGGATGATGTAGACCTTGTTGAAGAAGATGCAGGCCAGCAAGCCAAAGCTGGCTGCCAGGATGGCGATCACCTCCACGGCGGAGACAAACTTGCCGTAGGTGCTGGCGTAGGCTGGAATGAAGGAGATCCAGACGATGAAAAAGATGAGCATGCTGAAGGTAATAAACTTGGCTTCGTTGAAGTTCTCTGGCAGCTTCCGGGACTTGAAGGCGAAGAAGAAGCAGATGGCAGCCAGCAGACAGGTGTAGCCGATCAGGGAGCCGAGCGCCATGAGTGAGCCCTCGTGGCACGTGATGAAGATGATTTCATCCTCCAGCTCATGGTTGCGGTAGCTGGAGGGGGGCGCCGTGTAGAGCCAGATCACGCAGATGACGATCTGCATGAAGGTGCAGAGGAAAACTAGTAGGAACTGCAGGTTGAGCCCCCACCACTTCCGGTGGAAGCTGGTGGGTATCTTGGCCTCAAAGACCAGGAGGACACGGTTGGTCTTCACCAAGATGCACGAGATACAGAGCACAAAGCTGATGCCGAAGGCGGGCTGGCGCAGGCGGCACGTCCAGTCCTGGGGCTCCCCGATGAAGAACAGGGAGCTGGAGAAGCAGCAGAGCAGCGAGAAGAGCAGGAGGTAGGACAGCTCTCGGTTGGTGGCCTTGACGATGGGCGTGTTTCGGAACTTGATAAAGACGCCCAGCACAAAGGCGGTCAGGAAAATGCCCAGCACTGCAAAGAGCGTGAGAGCGATTCCGAAGGGCTCAGTCCACGCCAGAAACTCAATCTCCTTGGCAATGCAGGAAGTGTGGTTCTCATTGGACCAGAAGTCATCGGGGCACTTGTCACAGGCACTCGCATCTGTAAAATGAACCAGTGCAGGCAGATTCAATTACCGTGTAGCACAGTCAATGTAAGCGTGCGTGTGGAGGGTGGATGTGGTCACTTCCTATTTTACTTACTGATGATTTGTTTTGTTTTTGTTTTTTTTGAGACAAGGTTTCTCTGTGTAGTTTTGGTGCCTGTCCTGGATCTCGCTCTGTAAAACAGGCTGGCCTTGAACTCACAGAGATCTGCCTGCCTCTGCCTCCCGAGTGCTGGGATTAAAGGCGTGCGCCACCACCACCCGGCCTGATTTTCTTTTATATCTATTAAGAATAAACATCTTTGGGGCTGGAGGTCTTGAGTTCAATTCCCAGCAACCACATGGTAGCTCACAACCATCTGTAATGATATCTGGTGCTCTCTTCTGGCCTGCAGGGATACATGCTGTATACATAATAAATAAATAAATCTTAAAAAAAAACCATCTTTGAAGGTTCTACTGTCCCCCTCCCCAACAATAGAGGGGTGGCCCATTTCTTTTAACACTGTCTGAAATAATTTTCCTTTGTCCCTCTACACAGCCCATCAACTCAGTTTCAAGTTCTGTCTGAACTTGTTTTTTTTAAATTACATTGTTCATGTTTGAGGTTTTCCAAGATGGCGTTGTGGGACAGATGGTAACATGGTTATAATAGTGAAGTGTATTAACACTGCTACTATCTCGATCACAGCCTGATTTATTTTGAGTATGTGGTTGCCTTTGTTGCCAGAACAGATGTTCTTTTAGATAAGGGCAGGGTGGCCCTTGCATGTGGCCAGTCATATCTATGTTCTCAACTTTCCAGTGAGGGAGGCCACATATTTATCTAGCTTGGTGGTTCTCAGCCTTCCCAGTGCTGTGTGACTCTTTAAAACAGTTCCTCATGCTGTGGTGACTCCCAACCACAAAATTATTTTCATCGCTACCTCGTAACTGTGATTTTGCTGTGGTGATGAATTGTAATGTCAATGCCTGATATGCGACCTTTGTGAAAAGTCCCTTTGACCTGTAGGGGTCCCGACCCATAGTTTGAGAAACACTTATTTAGCTACTATATATTTACGGAGTTGTCACAGACTGCCAGGCAGTGTACAGTTTGGAGCAGGGAAGGGAGCATAGATCTTTTTTCAGTTAGAGATCGGGATGGGATCCTGGCTATGCCGTTCACTAGCTGTATCACTTTGGTCAGGCTCCTTAAATCTCCAAGCCTGCTTCCTCAGTTCTAAGATGGAGGGAGCGATAAGCCCATTACTGTGGTAAGGTTGAAAGATCAAGAATTATAGTCAATATTTATCTAGTCCTTCCAATATGCTAGTCAAAGTTTTATTTAAGAAGCATATATTTAGAACTTAATATTAATTTGTTTAACTACCACGGTTCTGTGAGGGGTTTAATTGTGATTCTCCTTTAGAAGGACTTGAGACTGAGCTGGAGAGATGGATCAGTGGTTAAGAGCACTTGCTACTCTTACAGAGGACCCATATTGGAGCCCAGCACTGGCATGGCAGCTCACAACCGTCTGTAACTCCAGTTGTTGGGGATCTGATATTCTTTCCTGACATCCTTAGCCACCATGCTTGCACTCAGTGCCCATACGTACATGCAAGCAAAACACCCCCCCCCCCATAAAATAACAAATATATAAATGAATGGATGGGGAGTTGGAGACCCAGGAAGAGCATCAGAGAGACAGTGAATACAGCACCAGGCACCAGCAGGCAATCCGTCACAGCCTGTTAACTCTGGAGCTGGGGCAGCTAGCGCTTTGTCCCCTCGGGGCCATGGGGCTGTAGGAAGAGGGACACACTGTTGGAGGGAGAGAGAGCCGTGTGACAGGAATATTTGTAAACACGTGGAACGGTTAAAAAAAAAATACCCCACATTCCTTTTCCGTCTCATGCCCAGAGGAGTGCAGTGCTCAGGCGTGCTCTCCTCTCCTCAGAAGGGGGGTGGTTCTAGTACCCAGTTCACCCATGGGCTTTGCTGGCCCTCCGAGGTGGCCCACGTCCGGCACAGGGTCTGTGAGGGGCAGATTCCTCACCTGTCTCATCACTGTATTCCCCATCAGGACACTCCACACACTCAAAGCAGCAGGTGGGCTCCCCTTCAATGATCCCCTTCCTGGTCCCCGCCAGGCAGTCCCGGCTGCAGTTGGAGAAGGGCACCTGAGGGCAGGGAACACGGAAGAGAGAGAGGTTTGCATCCGGGGGTCAAGGGTCAGTCTTACAACTCCTTTGACCTGGGCAAAGTGAGAAGTTTGGGTATAAGGTTCCGTGTGACTAACTCTGGGCCATTCTAGATGGAGAGAGGGTCAGGGTCCTCGGTCCTGTTCCCTGTAAAAAGCAAGAAAGGTGGTAAGGCCAAGTGTGGGCACATTTGACAGTCTGCTTCAAAGACACAGGTGAAGTCCTGGATCTCAGTGGGTCTCAGCAGCAACTCCGTGAGATGTGTAAAGAAATTATTGATACGTAATTTATAATAAACATACACGGTATTTTTGTGGTCACGTCTACAAAATTTTCAGAGAAGTGTCAGTTAGACTCTAAGGTTTGTTGGTTCCTACTGCTTTCAGACTGCATTTCTATAGAAAATTGAAATTTAATTTATAATTCTGTCAGGTAATTAAGAACATAAGGATTAACTCGGTCACACATTTACTAATGATGAAGCCCGTCATGCCCAGAGCCTGATAGAGGACATTGGGATTACAGGGAACTATACAGGAAATAACTTCCAAGCAGGAGGGGAGATGAGATGTGGACCAATGACAGATGATTTACATGCATTAACATGATAAGCAGGTGATACAATAAAGGCACACTGATGATGGGCTAGCCAGTCAGTTTGGGATCCAGTCATTTCAAGTGTAGACAAAGGTATAATTACTGGGCATATGAGTTTAACCCATGGAATCCCAAAACCTCTATCCGGAAAAGGTCAGGACACATTTTGTAATTGAGATGAGGATTTGCCCGCTGTGGGTGGGATTACCTGTCATAGGAGACCTTCCCCTGGCGATGCCATCTCACACACTGGGAAACAGCAAAATCATAGCAATTTGGCAATAAGAACAAGTTGACTCTTTGGTCACGTTATGAAAAGTGGCTCAGGCCGCTCAAAGATCCTAACAGAAAGGCAGTGTAAACAGCCATGGAGTGGATCTCAGCTTGACTCCCCACGGAGTTAAAGAGGATGGCTGGTCCTGAGTCCGCTTCTGCAGAGGAGCTGGGGTCCTGCATCTTGTTACATTTTAGCAGCTCAGTTATGCTTTTGTTGCTGTGCTAAACACCCCAACCAAAAACACCTTGGGGAGGAAGTGGGTTATTTGGCCTTCAGGTTGCCGTCCATCATCAGGGAAAGTCAGGACTTGAGTCAGGAACTGAAGCAGAGGCCACAGAGAAAAGCTGCTCATTGGCTTGCTCCCCATGGCTTTCTCATATTGCTTTTTTTTGCAACTTAGGTCTACCTTCCCAAGGGTGGCAACAGCCACACCGGGCTGGGCATTCCCAGATCAATCATTGACCAAGGAAATGCTTCATGGACTTACCCACAAGCGAATCTGATTGGGGCTTTTTTTTTTTTTTTTTTTTTTTTTTTTTTAAATTGAGGTTTCCTTTTTTTCCAGATGATCCTAGCTGTGTCAAGGTGACGAAAAAACTAACTGGTATATTAGCATATAACCACCCAGAATGGTCATCATTTCAGCATATCCTACATCTTTCCTTAATGAGCATCTTTACTGAGTGATGGGCTTCTGGTTCTCACTCAGCCTTGCAGATACAGTGATGTGGGGCAGGACACCTTGACTGGAGTCACAAGCATTTTCCTCTTGGTCATAGAATGAATGGCCCCTCTGATGTATGGGTCAGCCTGGGGCTATTTTGAATTCACATCTCAGCATGGTTAATGGAAACTGGGCTATGTGGAAAAGCTATGGAAGACTGTCCTGTGCATGCTGGGCATTTAGCATCCCTGATCCCCAAGTGTTGAAGGCCATTATTACTTCCTAGTCATTGTGACAGCCTATAAAGAAGTCCTTTCAATCTCAAATTTAAATCCCCTACACAAGGTAGGTAGGATGTCTCCCTCAATGCCACTTGAGAGACATTGACTTGAGAGATGTTTGCTTAAATATTTTGCTCTGGTTGGGGGAAGTTTTAGCCTGGGAAACTTTATGGGTAGCCAGGGAGTCAAAAGTGAGGTGACTCATGAATCTCAGGTTCCCAGGCTCTCTCTCATCACTAAACACTCTTGCAGTTCATGGGAACCCTGGATACTCAGAACTGGGGAGTGTAGGAAAAAGACCTTATCCTAGAAGCCTGTGATGAGTCCCAGGGCTCTCCCAAGCCAGCGGTCCCCTGACTATGGTGGCAGCATGGCACTCTTTGCTCATACCTCTCTGGAGAACCCACTCCACAAGATCTTCTCCTCGTTGATGAAGAGTCGCTCTCCCTTCTTGGCGTACACGTTGTAATGGCCAACCTCCTTGAACACAATGGAGCCGTCCTCTGGGGAGAGGTGCCAGTTGATGATGGAATAGTTCCCTACCAGGTCACCACACTCATCGAATGTCACCTGCTCCCCCATGTTGTTGGTAAAGTTGAGGTGCCGTAGGTGCTTCAGGACCTGAAGAGGAACAGAGATGGATGAATACGAGCCATGGACTGCCACATGTGGCCACGCTGGTTGTGTAGTATGAATATTTCATTCCAGCAAAGGAAGAAACCTGATCCAAAGAGGAGGCCTTTGTCCAGTTGTTTTTACAGTGCTCGCACGTTTCCATGGTAACTCTCGTAAGCCATGGCTTTATGGACTGCACAAATGTAAGTGGTGTAGGAAACGCTCTTTCGAAGATGGGGAGGAGAAGAGAATGTATCTCTCCTGACCACAGTTAAGTGAAAACCTCTGCAGGTGCAGCATGACCTTGTTGAACCATGACCTTCCTGGCATCTCCTGAGTTGGGTGTGAGGAAGGAGAGGAGGGAAGAATAAAAGTTTGGCTGTCCGAGCCGGGCGGTGGTGGCGCACGCCTTTAATCCCAGCACTCGGGAGGCAGAGCCAGGCGGATCTCTGTGAGTTCGAGGCCAGCCTGGGCTACCAAGTGAGTTCCAGTAAAGGCGCAAAGCTACACAGAGAAACCCTGTCTCGAAAAACCAAAAAAACCAAAACAAAACAAAAAAAAAAAGTTTGGCTGTCCGAACCTTCTTTCCCTGTGGTTTTGAGTCTGTGGAGATGTCTTGCTGCCAAAATTCAGTGTGGAGTAGAAAGAAGAAACAAACAGACCGTGACTGGAGCCCTGGCCACCACTCTGGACACTCGTGGTGTATCCTTGAGTGTATCTAAGGTCTTAGGGGTCACAGAGTCCTTGCACAAAAAGCGATTGTAGTAATTGCCAATACACATGAGTTATTTAAATTTTTAAATACCATTTTACTGCCTTTCAGGCATGGTCCTTAGTGCTTCATGTTATTTAATCACAAAAATAGCATAAGCACCCTCCCCCACCTTGTTTTTTTTTTTTTTTTTTTGAGATAGGGTCTCACTGTGTAGCTCTGGCTGGCCTGGAACTCACTTTGTAGACTGGGCTGATCTTGAACTTAAAAGATCCTTTAATCCCTCCTGAGTGCAGGGATTAAAGGCATGTGCCACCATGCCTGCCTCTGTTTCCCATTTTACTAATTGGGAAACTGGGGTACAGAAAACTGAAGAATTTTGTGCAGGATCACAAGCCAGTGAGTAGAAGTATGCTCTGCTAAAGCTTCTGTTCTACAGCATGGAAGACCAAGTGAGAAGACAGGTCCAGCCATGAGTATGGCATGCTTGCTTCTACCACACCTCTGGCTGGAGCCCTTCTCCTTGTCCCTTTCAGGTCCCACTTTCCTGCCTGAGGTATAGTGAGGCCTGGCTGGGATGGCTAAAGTGTCTCTCTCTCTCTCTCTCTCTCAGCTTGAACACTGACTTTGGAAAAACATCTTGCAATTTAACAAAAAGTTAAATACAGAGTTGCTGTTCAACCCAGCAGTTCTACACTCAGGTACTCATTCAAGACAAGTGAATGAAATACAGGTCACATAAAAAACTCCTTGTGTACAAATGTTCATAGCAACATTAGTATAAAACTCCAAAGTGGAAACACTCCAAATGCCATCATTTGAATGACTGGATGAATAAAACATTTCCTTACAATGGGATACTATTTGTACTAAGAGAAATGAAGTACTGGTGACTCTGTTCCTAGAAATTCTACACCCAGAATTTATTCAAGCAAATTCCTCTTTGTTAGGCACTGGGTTACTGAATGCTTTCTCTTAAGGTCATGAGTAAGACAAGTATGTCCATTATCACTCTGTCAAATCAATGTTGTGCTGGATAGTCAGTGAAATTTGGCTAAATCAAGCAGATTTAGAAAACATAATTTAAGATCTAGGTTCTATAGCCCACCTCTGGAAACCAAGCACATAACACCAGAATGGTCAAAATAGATTTTCAAATGAAACGGTGTCTGGGGCTGAAGAGATGGCTTGCTCAGCAGTTAAGAGTGCCTACTTCTCTTGCAGAGGACCCGGGTTTGGTTCCCAGCACCCACAACTGTCTGTAACTCCAGTTCCAGGGGCTACAACACCTTCTTTTGGTCTCCATAGGCTCCTGCATGCATGTGGTGAACATAAACTCCCTCCCCCTCCCTCCCTCCCTCCCTCTCTCTCTCTCTCTCTCTCTCTCTCTCTCTCTCTCACACACACACAGACACACACACACACACACACACACACACACACACACACACACACAGAGGAATAAACAAATAATTTATAAATAAATAAATAAATAATTTAAAAAGAAACAATTTCCTTTTTTGGGGGTACATTCCTTAATATAAATTAAGTTAATAAATCATTCTGTAGGGAGCATGCAAAAGTAATAATTTAAATTTTAACAAGTTATGAATTTTTTAAAGATTTATTTATTTATTATATATACACAGTGTTCTGCCTGCGTGTGTGCTTGCAAATCACAAGAGGGCACCAGATCTCATTACAGATGGTTGTGAGTCACCATGTGATTGCTGGGAATTGAACTCAGAAACTCTGGAAGATTAGCCAGTGCTCTTAAACTCTGAGCCATATCTCCAGCCACAAGTTCTGAACTTTTTTCGCCTTAATAATCCTGCTTATAATTGTGTGTGTGTGTGTGTGTGTGTGTGTGTGTGTGTGTGTGTGTGTGTGTGTGAGAGAGAGAGAGAGAGAGAGAGAGAGAGAGAGAGAGAATTTAGAGAATTTTTGTTTTTGTTTTTTCAAGACAGGGTTTCTTTGTGTAGCCTTAGCTGTCCTGGAACTTGCTCTGTAGACCAGGGTGGCCTCAAACTCAGGGTGGCCTCAAACTCAGAGATCTGCCAACCTATGGCTCCTGAGTGCTGGGATTAAAGGCATGTGCCACCACAGCCTGGTTTGAGAGAGAGTATTTTGTGTGTGAATGTGCTGTATATGCATGTGTGTGTGCATGTGCACATGCCTGTACATGCGGCAGAGGCGCAAGAAGGGCATCTGGTTCTGCTTTACTCCTTTGAGAAAGGCTCTCTCATTGGAATGGAACTAGACTGCTGGCCAGCAAGCCCCAGATGTCCCCTGGTCCTGCTGTCCCAGCTCTAGAGTGACAGGCACATGGGTTGCATTTACACAGGCTTTAGGAGTCAAACTCAGGCCCTGAGGCTTCCATACAAGTGTGCTTCTCCACTGTGCCATCTCTCTGGCCCCTTGCACATACTTTCAATGTCTTTATCATAGTATTCCTGTCAGTTGCCCGTTGATAATGCAGAAGGGTTCAGACCAAATTTATCAAGCCATCCAGTCTGTGGCTGAGACAAAGGGAAGGGGACTCTCCTCTTTCTGGGGCACTGATCAAGTGTCAATCATTGTTAGGGCACCATTAAAATCATTTAAAATCACTATCAGTGTCAATGATAAGTTCTTACTATAATCACTCCTTTTGTTCAGTTACCCATGAAGAAGAGAGGTAGTGGGGGCTGGACAATTCTCCCTTCCCCCAGCTGTTGGAATCTCCTCTCCTGCCCTGGCTGCCTTGGCCAAAAAGACTATCAGTAAAGCAGCCATCAGAACCACTCTGACGCCAACACCAGCTGTTGGGAACGCTCAGTGGATGCTTTGTGGAAGCTACACTGTGTGCTGAACACTTGCTCTGGCTTCTGGGGTGCAGTGCTGACCGGACTGTTAGAGGCAGCCTAAGTGGGACTTTCTCTGTAATCACACTAATCTAAACCCAAGCCAGAGAACTCCTGCTGGGGGCCTGCTGTGACTGGTGCAAAAGGGACCGTGTCAGGACTGGTGTAGGCGACACAAGCCTCCATGTGCACGAAAGGTCGGCTGTGATTGACACAACCACCGCTCGCTCTTTCCGGTTACTCTTGAGAGAGCGGCTGCCACACTGAGTCACTGGGGCGGCCCGGTGTGGCTGACTCTCAAAAGCAGGGACTCTCAGGGACCTACAGGCCTTCCTGTGGGACAGGCATAGCTCTGAGAGCTCTCGGTGGTGGTGGCAATGGCTGTGACATTGGTAAGAGTCCCAGCAGCTCTAAAGGCCAAGGGTCTAAAGACACCCTAGGTCTGGGAGCTGTATTCTTGGCCTCTGTCAAAGGCTGAGGAATCCTAACTTTGAGGCCAGGGCAAGCATCCCGGCATCCCGGAGGCTTGCATGAGAACTGTAACACCAGAGGAAGCCAGCTGCTGCAGTTCCCGGTCACATGATGCTCTATCATTTGCTGCCTTCAAATACCTGTGGTTAGAAAAACTGCCAACGACCGGCCCCATATTGCTCATCCACCCACATGTAATAGATACTCAGTCAATAGTGGTCCATATCATCTCTACCATGTAGACTACCAGGACCACAGCCAGCTGATTGGGAACGTGACTGCTTTTCTGAGACCACACACCTTCCCACTTGTCTGTCCATATGCTGTCTAGTCATTATCCCCTTCACTTGTTTTTTTTTTTTTCCCAGCATATATCTATGGCCAAGTCTCTTCCTTCATTTATTTGTTTATTTCACAAGTAGGGCCAAACAGGCTGTTTTGAGGAGGAGAGCTATAGTAGTATTTGATACAGACAAAGAGATGTTGCATCTACCCCAGCATGGTCAGTCATATCCACTGGCAACTTTCCCCACACCATAATTTTCTCCCTGTAGAAAGTGTGTAGGAACTTGGGTGTGAGGACAAGTGTCTGAGTTCAACACTGCATGAGTGTCTTCCATAGGAACCCATCTACGGGCCAGCATCCTCTCAGGTTCTAGAAAGTGTGCACGTAGAGGGACCTATTGGCCACACAGCTTTTTCAGAGGTAACACTGGCCTTGACAGGGCACAGGTTATCCGAATATGGCCTTTCTTACTGGATAGCTATCTGACCTTGGTAAAATAATTTTAGTCAACCCTGAGTCTTTCCTTACCCACAAAGTAGTAGTGCTTAAGACCACTATTTACTGAACATTTATTCGTTGTAGGCACCACCCTGAGCACTCTGTGCATATTAACTGATTATTAACTTATAACAAACTTGTGAGTCTCATGATGCCTGTTTCTCAGGCCAGGAAAGTGGGGCATAGGGCATTAAGT